AAGAGAAGAGTTGCAGCGCGTGCTGTGCGATATGAGACGTAGTATGGTACACTCTATTTAACCTGACGCCTAACCGCTACAGTATGCGCTGCGACTCGTCCCTTTGCCGCGTCTGCGTCTCTTCCTTCGCCGCGCGGTGGGCCTGTTGGGGGACACCCTTCGCTAGAGATTAATTTAAAAAGAAGCTCTCAAATGTGATCTTCAACTACTATAATTTGCAGGGATTTTCGTAAAGACCCAATAATAATATGGGGTGAGGTGGACACAGCTCGACCGCCAGACTGTTCTCTACGGGGAATACAGCTGCCTCCCCCTCCCGCACTTCCTCTTCCACCAGTTAGAGGATCAATGAAGTGCCGTTCCAGCCGAGGCTTCCGAAAACGAAAAGTCCCGTGCTGACTTGATGTCTCGTCAACTCTTCACTACCCGTCAGAACCATTCCACACCACAGCCTCATCATATAGTTCAAGTGCATACTGTTAATTCTCCAAAATTTAATCATTCTCATTGACAGGTAATCATGGATACTGGATCTGCGAATTTCTTTATACCTGACGTCTCGTGCCAGGGAATTCGACCGAAAGCTTGCGAAAGCTCGAAATGTGACGCAGGACGTGAGCTTTTTCTTTCGACATTTCAAATGTTGTGTATAATTACAACACATCTTTGCGCACATTCACATGAATGGTGATAGTGTTTACTTCTTATCAAAACAGTCACGGCAAAAGGATATGGCACCTCCCGTTCACCAGCATTAGCAACAGGAAACCATTCATTCATGCCATTTATCGAAGGCAGCGATTACGATGGGTTCGGTCCGTTGATTTGCGCTCGAGGACGGGCAGCGGCTAGTCCGCCAGATGTGTGGAGCAGCTCGTCCAAATCACAAGCCAAACTATGTATAGGTTGGAGCGCTCACAGGGCGTAGCGATTTTCAAGTACTTCCCATCAATCAGCGCACCTTTCGTCGTGGAAAGCGACAAAACTCGCTTCGGTAGTCAAGCTACAGCTTTGCGGCGGACATGTTTTCTCTAAGCGCTTTCTCTTTATCGCCATCGCTTCCTTTAAAGTGTTTTAATAGTAACTTGGGGTGCATCATATCCCATGGGGAATTTGGTGGTTCTTCATTATTACAGCGTTTTCTTACACCACATTTATTGAATGAATGAAGTAACGTGAAGCAATAACATAAACAAATGATAATGCACCAATCGACCAAAGTGTTAGGAAATACAATCGAACAAATAAATGACTTATAGAGGAAATAAATTTGGATTTGAATTGCTAATATTGTTTGGACTACTTAAACTTGAACTGCGGGCTCTTGCGGGTCCGCTAGTGGCAACCATACTCTCTCACAAGGGAGGGCTTTCAGGGCAAAGTGCGCTTTTTGGAAACGGTTCAGTACATGTTGTAGGGACGCATGTATGGACCACAAAACCATGTTTCGTTTTCGCTGAACGGTTTTAGTAGTACCAAAAAAGTGGTGAATAATACTCTTTGGTTTCAATCCCCGCGGCGACTAAATTTTGCAATCAAGGTTGGCGGCCACTTGTTGGCTTCAAAATGGTCCTGACGATGAATTTGACATCTGATTTTGATTTAGCGCGATTTGGCACCAAACCGTAGGCGCCAACCCAAATGCAAAATTTAGTCGCCACGGGGGATCGAACCCTTAACAGTACCTTATGCTTCTTTTTTGGTACTATAACCGTTCAGCGAAAATGAAACATGGTTTTGCGTTCCCTACATGCGTCCCTACAATATGCACAAAGCCGTTTCGAAAAAGCGCACCTTGTCCTGAAAGATCTACCTGGTCAGACGATGCGGACATAAGAACACAACAGAGCGGCTGCCGCTGTCACTGTATCGCCGTCCAACGGCTCTGACTAGTTCTTCTGAAAGCCGCCCAAGTCCACCCGTCTCCTTCCGGAAGCGACTATATTACCCGGAAGCCATGAGTCATATCATGAACTGGATTTTTGCTTAGTCTACAGGCAGCTGAATCTAAAGGTCGATCCATCATTCGTGTCGCAGATTTGTATCAGGCTCGTCTGATCGAGCAAAAACACTGACTTGTGCGTCGGCTGGTCCCCGCCTTATTGCGTAGGCAAATTCGCATTATGGCCACTACGATTCCGTCACAAAACTGGATACATGTCTCATCCAACGTACTTCAAAAATATATGCAAGTAGTGAATCTCTGAGATAATTTGTAATGTGTATTGTTTGTTGCTGCACAGGCTATTGACACTCTTTTAAGAGGAGCACCTCTCTGAGAGCAAATATGTTCTGGTTTACCTTTAGAGAGAGAAGGTTTTGTAGACCTCGTCTTAAACGGGAGGTGTTTGAGCTGATGTGCCCGCCTCAGCACCAAATCAGTGAAACACGAATTGGGCAATACAACCTTCAATAGGCTATTGAAATGTGGGCTTGGTCACCCCATGCGATAGTAAGATATGGAAGCACAATCGATGTTGAGATAGTCGAACAACAGAAAGTAGACAGACACGATCATGAGCAACTTTGTCAGAACATTTTTGACTAGACTTTGTTTACACTCAATTATTACAATACACCTTCTGATCAATTTTATCAGTATGGTAACGAAACTTCTGTCACAGAATGAGGCCTACTAGACAATGAGTGAGAATTCAGCAGAAATAGTGACGTTCGAGGAAGGATTTTTGAGATTTCGAGAGCTTCATGGCAGAAGGTCGCCTCATTGAGATCTATATTCATTTTGACATGAGATATCTTCTATTGAAACTCATCATTTTTTTTTTTGAGGAGATTCCTTCGACTGACTAATTCCAATTTTTTTACTCTCCAACAGGAACGCTAAAATTGTCCGCGTATGAAGTGGAATACTTTCATCTTTATTGAGTTGATCTGCCACTCGAACGAAGTCCGTTGAGGAAGATTCGAATTCCAAGCGTCTCCTTTCGAGTCCATCCTGAACTTTACAAGGCAACAGTAGAGTATCATTGACCTTCTTAGTAACGGGACCAATATCACACCTAGTACGGTAGCTATCAATAAAATTAAAATTTCCTAGATCATAAGAGTGCGTAAAGAAATCGATCAACTAATAGAGATGATGTGAATAAAAAAACAGCAATACACGGTGAGAGGCCAAAGCAAAAGAGACACTTTCATTCTCACACATTAAAGCTAATTCGATCAAACTTTATTAAAACTGGTTGGGATCTTTTCACCGGCAAAATCAAAAACACTCTGCACACAACTACGGAACTCCATAACAGCCTCCTAGACGAAAGAAAACGAAAGATTTTATCACGCGATCATGATGCGTCTTTTCAGCTCGGCGAGATCTTCAGCCTACTGCCCATCGTGCACATTCCGATTGAGTTCTGCCCATACTCGGTAGTCGAGAGGATTCAGAGTTCCGCAGAAGCACTAGGCTTATGTATTTGTGCACTAAATTCAAAAGTCGGCGATTCGAGGAGAGCAAGAGTCCTCCGAGCGGCATGAGCAGGTGCCGAGCCCTGCTGGAACATTTCACGGGCGTACAGCTGATGACATGACGGCGAAATCTCTCCTTCAAGTTGCTTGATGTAGTACTCGGCGTTGATTTACACACAGTCCACGAGACAGAGATCTGGTTTCGTTATCACGAAGAGCCAACCCATCCGGTGCGCTTGCTAGTCGACTTTGGTGACTGCACTAATTTTCGACTTTTTCAGTGTGGTCCAGAGGCGCTTGTTGTGGCTGACTCTTGGGGGAGAGATCGGGAAGAGTTTTCATCCGGAGAAGATGCTCTTCAATAAGTCGTCGTTGAGCTGGCAGGAGATCTTCGCAGCACTCCAGACGATTCCATCGTTGATTCTCGTTGAGACTGTGGACTCTTACCCAAAAACTAGCGTCGAAAAAAGCCACGAGAATTGAAGAGCCAACCTCGGACAGCGATCTGTATCCTTATTTCTTGAGAAGACGAAGGACAGATTGACTGGTAAGTCGACTCGTCGGACACGATATTGTTGACCATAACAGCATTGCCAGCACTGCATGACGAAGGTGGTCTTTCGGATCCAGAAGATGGCATTCAGGAGTCTGCCCACGAGTGACTCGACTGAGGAAGTTTCGTAGTTGCTTCAGGGCGAAAATGCCATAGGCTTCTTTGAGCGCGATTGCAATTGCGGACGGCTTCAACTTCTGGTAACGGTGGAGAAACTTCACGAGCTCTAGTTTCTGTTTATCAAAGAACATTTCAGGAGTTGCTCTGCCCAAAAACATCCGCCTGCCCCTTCTTTCTGTGTGACGTATTCGCTGCAGGTACAAGCCAGACCCAATGTGACTATTTTTTTGCCCCCTCCCCCTGTGTACCTAGGCACTTTCTCGTAATAATGAAAGACTCTGCCAGCAAGAGTGCCGCTTCCTTCTAGGTTTTGCGTGCTCGAAGTGTTCAAGATAGGCATTCCAAATAGTATCACGAATAGACGAGAACAGTTCAATAGAATGACCAGTACAGAGCGACCCAGTGCGCCGCTCACGCCGTGACAACAAAGGCGCGAATGATTAATTTTTTTTAGGCTGCATGACTTCGCCTCAAACCTTTCTCAGCAAAAACTTGATATCTTCTGTGTAGCACTCGAGATATTTTTTCAAGGAATTTTTCCTGTTCACTAATCGCTCTACTTCAGTAGTGTGCAAAGTGTTCTGCTCTGACCAGAGGTGTTGTCGAAAGTCTATAGGGAAGGCTTGCAGCGAAAACAATTCATTCAATGCAACAGCCTCTACCAGCTATATGAAGACGGAGGGAAAATGGAACGTTCAGGTTAATCAGTTCAACTTCACAAGAATAGAATGCGAAAAGGCCAGCTAACTCAGAACAGTACTTTTATCAGAAACTGTCGTCGACTAGCCCCCATTCAAAAGCCTTTAATGTTCCAAAAACCCTAGAATTTCTTTTAAAATATTATTTTTGTTTGCGTGTTTTTAGAGCCCTCGCAGCGTCACTTTGATTAGCATATTTCATCTTCAGGGAGCATGAATTGAAGCACAGGCTCTCCTCCCCTGTCTGCTGACTTAACCATCGAGGCTGCTCTAGCTCCTGAGCCCGCTAGTAGAGTCCGTATTCCGCAAGGCTTGCTCGACTTTAAATCCTCCAGAACTCTCAAGCTCTTCGCTTACCTTGTGAGATTCCGTGTGACTGCACGCAAGGCAGCGACAGGAAAACCTTTAAAGCTGTGTCGTAGCAGATTGGGATGTGCGTTTGCAGTCAGCATTTCAAGACACATAAACAAGTACACATTAAAGCTTGATGGATGTGACGACTTTAGAAGCTGTGAAGTGCATGCTTTTCATCACTTCAATATTTGTCAACCTAAAAAAATAGCATTCGGTTCGACGCAACGTAGACATCCCTCTATCCTCCAAAGACTTAAAAAGGGCACACAGGACACAAAATGAAATATGCTTTCAGTACTCCCCTCTAAGTGCCGAAGGATTCCTTGGAAATGATACAGTTCGTCTTCGGTGTGATAGGCTCCGAGCAGCTTGTCGTCCCTGGAACAATTTTTCGGTCAAGCAACAAAGTTCGCGTCTTCATTTGGAGACGTGAGTATCTCAAGCCTAGTCTCAACGATGAAGGTGGAATTGATATTATCAAGATTATTCAAATTTCCGCGGCTTCGATTCATTCCAATGATGTAGAATTGAGCTCATTGACCTGTAAATAAATCTAGTTATGTACTATGTCATTCTTCACGATAAGAAATGATTCACTTTTTTTCAGAACGAATATAGATGGTATTCTCGGACTAGCTTTTCCAGCGATCGCGTCCAGTCGAATTCACCCCACCGTTGAGCCGCGCTATCCAACTTCACTTACTGGACCTACCCCTATTCACCGTCTATCTTGGAGCAGCTAAAGGTGATAGAACAACTAGTATCTGGTCGTATTGTTCTATTTATTGAGACTTTCGTGAACATAGTGCTACCCTAGTGTGGCTTTATTTCAAGATGATCCCAATTTTGTTTGGAGCTCCTTCATGCTCTTTTGAATTAGTCGTCAAAATGCATACTTTCTTCTAGAACCGAAGGAAAAACTGTGCATGTCTGTGGAACTCCCCTCCCCCAAACACCTCCCCCCACACGCTGATACCTGGGTTGCAAATGGTAATGTACCCCACTTCTAGAGCAATGTAAGGCTTTCTTAGCTCGGTGTCGCTTTCTCGTATAATTTTCGTAAGTAGTGTAAAGGATAAAATGGTGCATATGAGCGCTATTTCGAAACTCCGCCGAGGTCTTACTGGCAGCCAACCATTCCTACGACATCAAAAGCTCGTCCTCTCCTTCCCCAACCAGATTGATTTGCTCCGGTGAGAGATCGCAGAAAACAACAATAAATACCATTGAGTTGACAAATGCACTTGCTTGATGGAGAGATTTGCAGGGATGTCGGCACGAAACGTTGCAGGTAGGAAGGACGTTAATGGTGGTACTATAACATATGGGGCTGTCGATACGACTCATTGTGGACCTATAATCGCTTATGAACCGTTGACCACACCAACTCACTGGCAGTTTCAGGTACTCAAACTTAATTACAAACGTCAACATTAAGTTGTCATCATAGATGAAGATGAGCGCAGGCGCTCGTCAATCCTCTTTTGGAATCCTCCACGCTCCTCTTGCTGTTGAAATCATTTGCGGTAGCGTTTGGAAGAGATTGGCAGGACAAACATTTTTAGCACACTTCAGTATTTCTTCATAACATACAAGTTAGATGCTAGTTTGGGATACTCGTGGAGATAAAAAATCAGTTCATTTATTTATTTATTCATTTACTATTGCACTCAAGCTGCGCCTAAGACAATTGGAGTGTGAACAAATGCAGGAGCTACAGTTGGCTTGAATGGAAATGAATATTTGACTGTATCAACATAGCGCTCGCAATAATGTGCGAACTCGCCATTACACCAAATCCACCAGTAACTTCTGCGTACATTTAAAAATAAGTACCTTTTATGTGTTAACCCAGTTCGGGGGTGGGAAGGCAGGTCCTCTGTGTTCTTCTGTGCTTAAGATTAGAAAGAGAGCGTTCATAACACGTAATCGACTCATTGGAAGCATACTTTTGGAAGTCCGGAATGTTTTTTTTCGCCAGCCATGGTCCACGGTACGGTCCTGGACCAGGGGAATGGACTCTCGGCCTAGCACCAAAAAGGGAAAGGGTGGATGACCTAGTGCGGAAAAGTGGATAGGATGTAGACGGGATGAGTGGAATGGAGAACATCCACCGGTTCAAAAGTTCGGGAGTGACCACTCTCCGTAAGTGATTTTCATCCCTGTTATGAAACGGATTCAGCGGTCAACCATGGCGAAAAGCTGTTGGGATCGGTGGAACTAAATGTGCCCCACAGCAACAAGGTTTCAAAAGAATGATTCGATTAATTGTTTGAACGAGATTGTTCAATTCGATGAAGCGGTGAAGGTGTTGTGGGTTGGCTATCCAATCAGGTTTCAACGTCAGGTTTCTAAGAAAAAGCACATTGCTCATAGAAGGAAAAGGAAAACGATCTATCTCGCATACGAAATTCGAAAACTGTTTTCAGGTTTTATCCAAATACCTTCCTCATAAAACTGGAAGGTTGCATCTATGATAAATTTGAGGGGTACAATTTAGTTTTAGATTTTTTCGTACTCAGAGTTAACTTTGAATTTCCCACCTTTTCATTTATCTTGTTTCTTTCAGTTAATTACTCAATAGTAGATAATAATCAGTTCTCGTCACTGTTAGCTTCGTGTTTCTTTTTTTCATTTTTTTTTCATTTTTTGCTTTCAAAATATAAAGACAAGAAATGTTCAGCTTGCTGCCGTGTCCTCGGGAAAATATTATTCGAAAGTGAAGTGCAAGGCAAGATCGAACACAGCTAGCTCTTTCATTGGAGTACCAGCACACGAGTTGGATGCGATCGCTAGCGAGCACAAGGCAAAGGTAATTTCCAGATTCATTACTTCATGCAGAAACGGTACGTAGGTCATTTGGGACTGGAAATCAATTTTAGTTTGATGGAAACGCACACAGTCAACTGTGCAGTTGGCAACAATGAGTTTGGTTAACGATTGAGTACGCCAGTTAGAGCATTCGCCTGGCGCATCTCAGTAAAACCACTAATAGCGACTACACCAACCACCAATATGCATTGCACTATCCCAGCGAAACTCATAACCGTCCGTGTGTCTGTTCACTTTTTGAACGCAAACAAGCACCCACACTATATCTCACGCAGTCAGTTGGAGCTCTGGGCTTTGAGAACTTAAAGCAACAATTCCAGATCGAATTTGCATTGAAAAAGCGGTCGATAATGAAATGGTAGATGTCGGAATTACTGCAAAAGGGGCTCCCTCTACCCCTCGATATAAGAAAAGGGCGGGCTGAACAAGTTGCGCGGACTGGCTTGTATTACTGAAGACATGCAACTGATTCCCATTGTTAGGAAGAAACGTGTGGTCTCCCAAGCATTAGCTTCAAAGGCAAGGACGGCGCACGTATAATCGAAAAGCATTCAGAATTTTAGCAGGAGCGTCAAACTAAACAGGTAAAGGGTCGAGTTCCAAGGTTCCCTATAGCCCCTAAACGGTCGCACATGTCTACGCGGTCAAGCGCACGATTCGGCGGCTAGCAAATGGGCGGTGTCGTGCCAGGCGGACCAGTGGAAGAGCACGCATCGGCGAATCTGGCGAGACACGGCAAAACGTGGGATTCCGGATGGGTGCCCACAACACCTCTGAAGGGAAGAGCGTGCAGCGAAGAATGCTTGATGACCGAAGTCCTTGATGCCTGCAGCGGGTTGACAAGAGGCCTTGCTTCCCTGAGCCCATAGGGCATAAGCGTGCTGGCGCGTGCGATTACCTAGTAGTGCGAAGGATGTCGATCTGCCAAGTGAACAAGAAGAGGATCCGAGATGACACAATGGATCGACTAGGCGAAACTTGAGCGGCGTGTGCGCGGCGCATTCTGTGTTGAGGTTAATTGTTAGCGAATATGTGTTACGCTACTCATGTCGTTCTAAATAAACATTACAAAACACTGCATAGAATATTAGTACCGAAAGCTTACTAGAAGGCTTACTATGAATATCTGTATGGTGTAAAACAATGGATTAAATAGGAAAGAGAAACTACAGTTACAACTAAATACAGTGAACTACGATAACTACGATCTTGAAATAGAAGCAAACTGTTGAGCTACAATCAGAGTCAACCCTGCGTTGCGCAGTTCGCAACGGCACGTTGAGAGATCCTCAACGCACGCTGTATGGGCGGAGACGCAGACGGCTCGAGCATGCGAGTGTGAATGTTCGCGCGAGAGAACGTGTCTAATCGGGCGAAACTGCGCAACGTGGCCGTTGAGAACTGCGCAACGCAGGGTTGACTCTGCTACAATATAGGAACCCCAACTTCCGCAAGACGACTTCAGGAATCTAAGAGGAGAAGGGAGGTTCAACCACTGATAGGATCCCGGCAAGGCGACTAAACTAAGTATACTTGGGCTAAACTTTCTGAAAGTTAAATAACTATATTTTGCTGGATTCATCGCAAGTCGAAGATGATAGAAATAATATAGCGACGAGTAAGCCGATAACCGGAGAGGCAAATAAGGGCGACCGTCCACGATGACGATGCAACGATGCAATGACGTGGCTACGTTTTTTTTTTCGAAGGGGCAGGCAACCAAGGTCCTCTTACCAGCTTGCCTTGGAGTATCTTTACTCGACGTCGTGGCGCTGGTCACGACAGGCGGAGGTCAGGATCATCATCAGGCAGTCAAGGCGTTGCACATGTTGCACACCCCTCTAGCGGATTTCCAAGTAGGGTTTTTGCTCAGCGACACTTGTTTTGTTCTCAACTAAGGATAAAGCATCATTTCCACACCATTAGTATCGAAAGTTTGGACTCTGCTGAGAGTTTTGCTTTAAATGGACCAAAAGGCATGCAAGTTCGAGAAAAATATGTGCAATATGTGGATGAATACCTGAGCTCGCTTCACACCTAGACGGGATGGAATGTAAAGGCACACATCGCAATGAGTTGGTGAACTGGAGAGAGCTGTTCACAAAGGTCACGGTTCTCGTTCTCCCAGGTCTAAATTGAAAAACAAAGGTGCCAAGGCCCTGCAATGACTGTTTTAAACTCTTCCATTTTTCGTTGTTCGTCAGCACACCCGCGTCCGCGGTCCTTTGTCCGCTGTGTTCTCCCTTGTATCATCCTTCCTCCGTGCTTAGACTCCCACTGCCTTGACACGAAATTGAGCGAGCCCTTGATACCGGGTCTTTTCCTTATTGTTACTCCCCGTCCACGTCACACCAATGCTTTCGTTTTTATGCGCAAGGACCACGTTAGTCTCACCCTGAGTCGTGCTCTTGAGGAGACAGCGAAAAAAACTCCATTAATGAGGAAAAATGATAGAGCCACTGAGAAACCTTTTGAGTTGCACCAAGACTGCTTGGAAGTCATAGGTCCTGGTTCGAGTGCTAGTAGCAGTGGATTTTGTCTCTACCACGTACACCTTGTGATGAATCCTTTCATTATAATCCAGTACGAAACGTTTACGAAAAAGCTTGTGCGCATCGAGGAAGCATGCGCACCACTCAGAGCAGTAATAAGGCTTCTAAAGAAGAGAGCTGCAGCACTTTCTCGATGGGCGATGCTCTGGTTTCTGAGCAGTACTTGGATATTGCCACGCTCCCTAACCGCTGCACCCTCCAATTAATTTAGTGATTTGGGCCGCTCTCTGCCGTTGCTTCAGTCTTTATCTGTCCATATTTTGCAATCAGATTGCATTGTTTAACTTTGAACGACCCATCGTGAACATGCATTGGTGTAAATTCGTTGTCAATTAAAAGCATGATGATTGTCGGCATGGTGACGTTCATCACATCCAAACGACCTCCAGCTTGGCTGACACTTACCCGTGGTCGAAAATGAACAGGTAGACATGGGGTACTATGCCATACAATTTCAACGGATTTCTCAGCATTCTCACGGCTATTTGTTGCGTAGACGACATACTGAAGGCAAGAACACAATCCCTATGGCTTCCGCTTACAAAAATAACAGCGGGCGAAGCCTACCGGTGTGGGTTACGTGCCTCTTCAAAGTTTGAAGCGTGTCGGCGCCTATAGCGAAGAAGAACACCCCTATTGTCCGTGCGCAAGACAAAACGAGCAAGAATAATCATATAAATATTCAACATACCTAAGGGCAGAGTTATCCGAGTTATTACGCAATCTTCTCTGTCATTCTTTCCACTGCTCTTATTTTTCAAGTGGTACACTCATCTCCAACACTACGTGGTCGAATGTTCTTTGAAGCCAACACTTGAGCTGACAATTGGCCAACAGAACTACACTATCCACTCGCAAAACCTCGTGATACCAATCTCTGATGGACGTTGTATTTTAGCGCTAGAGTCTTCACCCAAACAGAAGTATGGCAACGTATGGATACTAGGAATCCCTTTCCATCGTCAATACTGTACCATTCACTGACTTCGAACGAGAAAGATTGGTTTTGCCGAATCTCTCAAATTTATTATGTGATAAACTTGATTTCGTGCAAGTAGGCATCGTTAAAGCCCGATATACATATACATCTGCCTTGCCATAAAAAAGTCCCACCATTAAAAATTCTTTGGAAAATAATCGTGTGATTAGGGTGTGTTTCTGAGAAAGGGCTTTCCAAGGAAAAAAAGTGGGCTCACACATTAAACGGTTTCGGATGCACACAGTAGCCCCACTATTCAAAAAAATTACGAGCACTTTTTACTTCCTATTATTTTTAGATAAAAGGCCATTTGCCGAATGCTTGATCAAAACATAATAAATAGAGGAACCATGTTGTTCTTGGTTGAGCTGCATACTTTCATTAATGTGAACTTTATATAATTTTTACTAAGGAGAGTTGCTTCTCAGTGAGTAAGGTCCGAAAAGCGAGAACCCGCACCCAGCACGTGCCGTTACTAAGAGACTACAGTGATAACAATGGCTAAAAGCCCGGAGCATAAACCAGTGATGGAGACTTACATGCACAGGCTCACAACCCGCGCGACTGATTTGAGTTCTCTCTACTTATACGGTTAATGAGCATTCGCAAAATCCTTCCAAAGAAGTCACATCAATTCAGAAAAGCCGGCTTGGATCTCGCCTTCTTTATATGTTTCCAGGATTGCGATAAGTCGGTTATTGAAAAGTAAACCTTCTCCACGGGGTGCCTACAGCAAAAAACCACAATTCAATAAGAAACCTAAACTCTTTGAAAGACACGTTTCTCGTAGTATAGAGAACACTCGAAAACAATCGTATGATTCGAATCGCGCAGAATAGAAGTGGGGTCACATTTGATACCACACGAAATTATCGCAAGAAACCAAGTTTCCAAAATCTGTTGATCGATACTGGCATAGTGAGATTAATATGCTTGCCCTTGGTACCCCCTTTAAATTAAACATGTTCACTTCTATCACTGTTTCCTCTTGCAATTTTGAGCTTTTTCTCTTGCCCAAATCACATTGTAGAAAAAGACTGAGAGAAACGTAGACAGACAGTAAAAAGTATCAGGTAGAGAGCCGAACTTGAAAACAGAATGCACAATAGAAAAGCAACCTCTTTCAAATTCACTTAAGGTTGGTGAGTGGTACATCAAAAGAAGGAAAAACCACGAGAAACGGTCACGAGAAACGGTATATGCCGTACTTTGCATTGCATAATACCTCTCTTTCTAGAGGCTCTGCGATTTCTGCTGAAAGACTGCGGAATAGCCGCTCATCAAGATAGATAAAATACACTAGGGGGTGGCTCAAAAAAAAGAGACACTCAGTCCATGGCACACACTCATGCCGCTTTGCGCTACATCATCGAACTTTTCGTCACACAGGGAGCCGATGTTAATGAAAGTTTTATGGCGTTATATTCCTTAGTTGTTCCTCCGTAACAGAAGCAAGCACTCCTTCACTGCCCCTGCCGTCTCCAGAATATGACGTCATCTGCCGTCACCGTCGAGCTCAACGAGGCTTACCGAAATCGCTCCGACCTGAAGCTGCTACACAATTTCCTCAGTGAATTAATTGTTGAATAGCTTCCTAGAGACATTAGCTGTGAATGTGCAAACCGCTTTTGACCTGCGTTCAGAGACTTAGGCGTCCTGGCGTGCTTATCCCTCTGGCTTTTATCCAATTTGCCGTTTCTCATTGAATGGGGCGCTTCTCCGCATTTTTAATCGTTGTCGAGCCGCGCTTCTCAGATGTCGTAATCGTCTATGGTATCTCAACGACCTCGTTGAGATCGTACCGCGCACAATGCTTCCGTGGGAAAATCTTCTGATGTCGTCGGTGTAGAAGGCTGTTGTGTAGCTTGTTGATAGATTATAACGTGCTCTTCAATATTTCAGTTGGGGTCATTTGGTTTGGTTTCGCGACGCGTAAATAATTCCGTTTTGAATGTTGAGTGAAGTGTCTCTTTTTTGGCCACCCCTGTATATGCTGAATGTCAAGCACGGAGCTATGAAGCTTGAGCGTTCCGTAGGACTTCTCTCCTGGTAAAAAAAGATTAAGCATCTACGCGCAATCCAACCAACAACAGTCGTGCTTCTAACTGATGGGGTTGTTGAGAAACGCAAGCAGATAAAAAGAAAGAAGAAATTCAGCTATCAACACAATGTACGACAAATCGGGTTTTCGGTGTTTTAGACATGCGGGACCCTGACGCGATTCAACCAATATCGATATCCCCCAGCACGTCCAATAAGGGCCCGTTTTTCGGGACGCTCGAACGTATACCAGCTTTAGAGCGATAGCTCGGTAAGTTAGCGTAAATGACTAAAAGTAGAGCACAAAGTCGCTACATCCGAGCCGAGCGTGGAGTTCGATATGAAGAATACGGTCCTTTTTAAGTACAACAAATGGAACAAGACAGTTAAAACACGTGCGCTGGAAAGTGTCAATCCATACTACGTTTTCCGAGCTAGCAAAGTTGAGTACTCTTCTCTCTCTCACAAGCCACAAATTTTATCGGGTCTCACCTTTGACCGAATAATCCAGATACCATTCACCAATTTATAGGTACATCTTTTCTAAGAATTGGCTGTGATTGGTTGAGCACGAACTGAAAATGATCCATGATTTCGGACAATGTGCCGTGGTAGCTAGACCAGCATATCTTAACATATTCCATGGACCCACATCGGTTAATAGTAGTTATATCAATACCCAATATTATCTTAATAAAAATAAACACCGACAGAGAGCAAGACAATAGAACTTCTATGAAATTATCAGATGATACTTCATGGTCACAAAGTATACAAAAAACTTCGGATAGAAGTTGCATATGCGAAAAACAATATGGAACGCGTGCGGGAGGCCAGTACCTCCACCGTAACCGGTCCGATGCCTGCAAAGTTGCCCGAAATATACCCTATATTTTGAAAACGAGAAGAGCTTTCGAGTGCAGACAATATGCCCACGATCCAACCGACGGAGAGCGTGCTAGAAAAAAAAAATGCACTTTCTTGCGTTGGTCCCAGTGCACTCTATGCTGTTGTTGTCCAGGTACTGGAAAGTCTCTTTCGTCTGTGTCGTGCTGCGAAAATACAGACGCTAATTCCCCCCCGCGCTTAGTTAAAGGAATCTTGCGCGGAAAAATCATGATTCTATTTCAGCCATAAATCACTGGCTTGAGACTCATTATCCACGATAATAGTGAAAAGAACTGAAGTATTGCTTTCGTTTTGATTAGAAATTCGAAAACTCGAAAAGGCTGCTACGAATCGCCGTTCTGAATTATTGAGCGCTCTTTGTGTGGCCGAGCGTTGGACGTCTTTCACGAATGCGTGCGGACGCGGCTGAATGCTAACAGAGAAACTTGGTTCTTGGAGTTCGGCATTCAACTATAGAAGCCCCCACTCCTTTCTGGCCTTCTGCTCTCGATTGCAATTCACATCTTACAGTCGCTTACTACTTTTTTGGTCCATATGCTCCGGCCCAGATTCATCATTCGATAAGAGTTCTGTCTCACCCCTCTGCTCCCGAAATCTGGCTCTTGCAGCTGCCGGGGAAATCAATAGTTTCCTCCCTTGAAGCTTTGCTGCCATTTTGTAAACTCCCTAACTTGTACTTTCTTTGCCTCGCTCATTGCGTCGCCTAGGTAGGCCTAGCCGCCAAACGCCTGTGCTTCTTTCCACACTCCCCGCCTGCTCACTGCCTCGGTCGCATCGAGTGGTCCATAAAGGAAGTACAGTACTCGCCGTTTGAAATCGAAAATTCACGCGAATAACGCGAATCCTCGTTAATTTCGTGAATTCGTTATAAGTCGGGTCAGAGTGAAGTATTCCAGAAACGGAAAACACCGTTGAACTCAGCTCTTCAAGCGCTACAAGATGGTGCTAAAATATTTTCAGAAAGCTTGATTTCGGAATGCGCCATGCACTCGATTTTCATCTCAAAAAGTAGTTGCTCGCATGTGATGTGTATATAATCCCGCTTATGCGGGCTAACCGCTACACACAAAGAAGGGCCTCAAAACTTACCCCAGAATGCGCCACGTACTCAATCTCATCCACTACATTGTGAGATTAGATGAATGTTATTTTCCGAATTCTTAGATCTTCATTTCGTTTTCAAGCGCTTACTAGCTTTACGTGTTCCCTCTGCTCTCAATATCCCATCCTCTGTATATCAAGTGGAATCTTTGAACAGTTCTCAGCAGGCATAGTGGGCCTATTATTTGCTAGTGACATATACCATTTCAGAGGACATGCTTTTTTGCAGAAAGCTGTGAAGATAGCGAACAATTTCCTTCACTCTCCTAGACTACGGTCACTTGTCTGTAAAGATTATATGGAAACCTTGGTCGCAGGTGAGCGTTTCTTCCGTGGTGTGACCCCAAACATCACCCCTTGTCATGCCTTTGCCCCCTATTACGTGACAAGTCCCATTTTTAGAGGAATGTTTTGTAGAAAGCTGTAAAGGAAGCGAAGAATTTCCTTCACTGTCGTAGACTATGGTCACTTGTCTGTAGGAATTATGTGGAAAACTCGGTCGCAAGTAAGCGTTCCTTCCGTGGTGTGGCCCCAAACATGCCTCCTCGTCATGCCCTTGTGGAATGTTCAGATTTTTTGCATTTCCAGATGAACTCGCAGACCTGAAATGTGCCCCGTTAGCTTCCCCGTGAAAAATGCTATCGAATGATATGCATTACTTCTCCTTCCAGTTTGATAAGTTTTGGTGTTTTTGCATCAACCGTTTCAGCCTTATGTCTCCTCACCTGCAATGCCTCCGGATTGGCCCACAACTCATTACTACCGTCGGCGAATTGAAACACCAAAAACCGTCAAAGTTTCATTTTCGTCGCTAAACTTTTGTCTCATTGGCGGTCAATTCATGCCCTGATTACGAATCAATGACATACAGTTTCACGCTCGTCGCGAAATTGAACCTCCCCTT